GTTCCAGAGCTGGTGGCAGCAAACACCAGAACAACTACAGGTAAAGCAGTTCATCAAATCTTCCTCGCCAAAATTCACAGCAGACCTACTAAGACACAGCTGCAAGATTGTTAGGATGATATGCCAATTGACAGGGCATTGCAAACTTAACAAACACTTGGAAAGAGTGAGCCTGGCAGAGGATAGCCTATGCAGGTTCTGTCAGGAGGCGGAAGAAACTGCCGTACATGTGTGGTACTGCCACTGCGAAGTACTATGCAGGCTTAGGTTTGCGACGCTTGGAAAAGTAGAGCCTAATCTGACAAGGTTGCAGTGGTAGAGAACGCCTCTGCGCCATCTTCATTCAATCTAATCTAATCTAATCTAATCTAATCTAAATCTATTAGAAGAATAAAGTAGAAACACATCACAGAAACTATCTACAGAGTTTTGACACTCCTGTGGAACTGTTCCATTCAAATCCACCAAGTTCTTGTTTTCTGACACAATATCTTGAACTTTGTCTATTGTGGAAATTCCTGTGATGAACTCGTATTTTTATTAATCTACGTATCACATGACAGCTCCATAAACTCTTAATACTCTTTCCCAATGCTATTTTTTCTGCCAAATACTGTCAGTGTTACCAAAAAGACCAAATTCTATTTCAATTTTATCTAATTTGATCGAACTATATCGTAATCTACGTAATTTTACCAAGTTAGTTTTTATTTATTTTGAAAAACTTTAAATTCATTCCACGAGAATAATTCCCTTAGACCAATTTATATAAATTCTCACAATTGAGTCTCTAACTTTTTTTTTCGATTGTTAGAACAGTGAAATTAATTTCGAGAGCTGACTTATTTCTTGGAAACTGAAATCGTTTTTATTTTTATACAATCATTGTTGCGCTTCAATTTTAAGCTGGAAAGAAAGGACGTAAATAAAAGAATTCCACCTCTAATGCGAAACATGCTTTTGTTTCTCAGTGGGGCTTTTGCATTTTGATTTGAGAATTATCCACATTATTGTATAACTAAAGTTGGATCAATATACAAACACTATTATTTTTTTTTTTTTTTTTTTTTTTTTTTACGGATATGCGCACTCGCAAGGAAATGTCCTATCACGCTCGAGAAGCGGCAAGTGCGCGGAAATGTCGGTGTATGTTGGTCTTGAAACGGTTCAGGTTGTAACCTGCAGGGAAAACCGTCGCAGGGAGTTTATTCCACAGCGATGCTGTTCTCCAGAGATATGAATTCTGATATAATGAGGTTCTTGGTGCCTCTAGTTTGACAGTAAATTCATGGTTACCGTCTGTTTGACGGGTTCGCCTGGTAGGTGCTACTCTCGGTGGAATCATACGTGCCAACTCTTCAGAGCATTTTCCGTGATAGTACCTGTAGAAGAGAGATAAATCGCCCACAGATCTGCGATGTTCGAGACCATCCAAGTTACGAGTAAGTGCGGGGTCATTGATCAGCTTGATAGCTCGTTTTTGCACGGTATTCAAAAGCATTAAGGTATGTTTGGGTGCTGCACTCCATATATGTGAGCAGTACTCCATAGTTGGTCGAATCTGGGCTTTGTAGAGTGTCAGCAATTGGCTTGGTGTGTACAGATGTCTTGTACGAAATAGCACCCCCAGCTTTTGGGAGGCCCTTTTAGCAATATCTGCCACGTGACTGTGCCAAGACATGTTGGTCTCTGCAGTAACCCCCAAGATGTTCAACTGACTCTGTAATGTGACAGCACTTCCAGATAGCATGATGTTTGGCTCACCGGTGCTGGTCTTTTTTGAAAACAGAGCTGCTTGGGTTTTCTGCGCGTTGAACTGTACAAGGTTTTTGTTACCCCAGTCCTCTATTATCTCCAGGTCGTTATTTATCTGCGATATTTGAGTTAGTCTAAGATGATGGAATTCACGTGCGGAAAGACCTGTGGGTGGTATGAGTGAGGAGACTACATTGCCATCGTCTGCAAAGCAATAAAGTGGATTTACTGTTTTATCTATGAGGTCATTTATGTAAATCAGGAAAAGAGTTGGCGAAAGGATTGCTCCCTGTGGCACACCAGCATTTATTTGGTAAGAGTTGGAGTTCTGGCCATCCAGTGCAACATAAATGGATCTGTCCTTTAGGTAACTTTCAAACCAAGTGCAAAGTTTCGGCGATAATCCCATTGCTTTGAGCTTGTTGAGCAGATTTTCATGCCAAACTTTGTCGAATGCTTTAGATATATCTAAGGCAATTGTTCTTGTTTCACCCCGCAACTCAATCGCTTTTTGCCATAAGTGAGTGACGTATGTAAGTAAATCGCCAGTTGACCTATATTTTCGAAATCCGTATTGCTTATCGTTGATAATTTTGTACTTTTCCAAGTACTTGGTTAGGTGATTGTTCACAACTCTTTCCATTACTTTTGATATCACCGGAAGTAGAGCAATTGGTCTATAGTTTAACGGATCTGTCTTTTTTCCTTTCTTTGGAATGGGTTGTACTGCGGCAGACTTCCATGATGATGGATATACTCCTTGCCTGTAAGACAAATTGAATAATTTAGCGAAAGTTGGGGTGAGTTCGTTGGCGCAATTTTTGAGTACTATTGCGGGAATGCCATCCGGACCCATTGCTTTGTTTGTATCCAGCTTTTTTAGGGATTTTCGTATTTCTCTGTGACAAAAGTGTACCTCTGGCATACTATGGGAAACCCTTTCAATGAACGGTGGAGTTTTTCCGTTTGGCACTGTTAGGTTGGAGTTGGAGGAAAAAATTTGGGCAAGCATATTGGCTTTTTCCTCTGATGTTGTGGCTAAGTGATTATTTTTATCTGTAAGTGGTGGTATGGATGACTTGGTGAAGTTAGATCCAACAGCTTTTGCAAGAGACCAAAAAGACCTAGAACTACTTGGACAATTCAGCAACCTGTTTTTTATTCTTTGATTGTATGTTTCTTTAGCGGAGTCAATAGTAATTTTGCAACTATTTCTGGCTTCTATAAATTCTGTGTGGTTTTGAGCGGTTTGTTGTCGTTTCCAAAGGTTATATGCTCTGTGTTTTTTCTGTACAGCCGTTTGACACTGGCTGTTGAACCAAGGTTTTGCATTAGCTCTACGTTTAGTTGTATGTGGGATATATGCGTCCATTCCAGATAAGATTACTTGTGTTATTTCATTACAGCAAATAGTGGGATCAGCTGTTTTAAAGCAAACCTCTTGCCATGGAAAATCCAGGTAATACTGTTTTAGGTCATTCCATTTTGCCGATTTATAGTGCCACATTTTACGAGGAAGTGGTTGTAGGCTTGGTGGGATGAGCATTTCGCACTTTGTTATTATAAGTTTATGATCGGACGAACCAAGTGGAGCATCTACTTGAATTGTGTACGAGTCAGGATTTGTGGTTAGGAACAAGTCTAAAAGCGCTGCAAATTCGCCCCTTTCTGAGATACGGGTAGGTTCATCGACAAGCTGCGTTAGACCACAACTTATGGCAAAAGCTTCTGCTTCTCTGCCTTCGTTATCTGTTTTGTTGTGGTGTTTCAGCCAGGGTATATTATGGACGTTGAAATCGCCTAAAAAGACAATTTCCGCCTGTGGATAGTTTGACTGTATACTATCACAGCTTTCGGATAATGTCGCGAAAAAGTTTTGGTAATCGGTGTTACTTGGCGGTCGGTAGAGGCAGCAGATAAACTTGAGTTGTTTTATTTCGTACCCTCTAAGTGAATGTGTTAATGTCTTGAAAAACTATGGAAATTATATTAGACCGACCAAATCCAACGAGAAAAATGACGAGGGACACGATCTCTCTAAAACTATTCACGTTCGCTCGGGATGATGTTGTTGTGAACTAGTGAATTCATTATTACTTATATTACCAATAATCCTAATGTTCACTACATTTTCTCTTCTACAAGTTCCACCATCTGTGTAATCAAGTCCCCAAGTTGTATTACCTATAACAATACTTTATGCTGTTAGGGTTTAAAGACGATGCCGGCTAGAATTATTATATAACCTGTGTCCTGTTCACACCAATTTCTCGAAAGGCGGTACTTCTATTGCAGAAACCCCAATTGTTGTAAATATAAAAACTAAGTCAAATACAGCCCATGGGAAGTACTCTTGCCGCCAAGAACATAATTCCTTCCCAGGTCTTTTTTATAATACAGATGGCGAGAATTACAACCCCTAGGTTAATTTTAGGTTTACGATTGTACAAACGTTTCGTAACATTTTAGCACCTAAATAAAATATGTTGTTGGGATAAGTTAATTTTAGGAAATTGTAAAATACCCTTCTTTAGGGAGGTCCAAACTTGCCTTCATTGGTGGAAGATAGTTGAAGGCAAGGTATTCAGATTCCGAGCTTCACTCTGAACAGTCGGGTTGCCTCTTAACATTCCTAAGTGTCCCCCCCCTCAACGAGAATTTCAATAAATGAAACATTTTTATACAATACCGAGTTTTAATTATCGAAGTACGAGATTGGAGCGAGCGGAAAACTCCAGGTACTTAACATTCGTGGCATCGGTCAACTCCCGATCCCCAACAATGTCTTTGAACTGACTATATCAGGTAATAAATATTGATAAACCACGACTCGGGATCACATGTATCAAAATCGAACTGCAAATAAACTTGACTAAGACCAAAATAATAAGGCCTGAACAAACGCAAAAAGAACATCAAAATCCAAACCCTACAATGTATCTGAATAAAATATTTGGCAGGTCATTGTTCTATGTTCAATTACCGCTTTTATTTATTATTTATCAAATCAATTCTAATAAGCCAACCATAATACAAACACAATCCTGTAAACCAACAAAAAAAAAAAAAAAACAAACGTCACAAACACATACCAAATTTATGGTCTTAAATAATATACACGGAAACTATTCGAAAACTTCAACGCTTGAAAGCATTATAGCAGTTAGTAAATGCCAAGAATATTATTTAATTTATTATTAATAGAGTTAGTATTAAAAATAGCACTCTCATAATAGAACCTTCACCTGATGCGTGTTTTTGTCCTGTATTGCTTGGCCTTGAGATGTCTTCACTCTGACTATCGAATGATAAATTTGGGTTCGGGAAAAAACTCGAATCTCGACTCAAATGCGGCGTACGATCGCGACCGAGGTTCTTGGGCGACGGAGTTTTACGAAAAAAACTTAACACTGCAGGTTTGTTGCTTTCCACTTGTAAAGTATCGCGATCACTGGACACTTTCACTTCCGGACGGTATTCGGACGATTTATCGCGGCCTAGGGGTAAGAAATCGGAAAAGGACAGCTTTCTCTCGAGGGTGCTTTTCGGTTTGACGAGTTTCTTATCTTTTTTGCGTTCGGGGCGTGGGGGTTGGCTTGCGAAAGTTACTTCAGGAGTTTTACTTCTTCGGAAGTTTGACCTTAAGGAACTTGGTCTTGTTTTAGATATTGGTTCAGGACTAGGTTCTTCGATTTTCTTTTCTCTACTAGTAGAGAGTGGATAAAAATTTTCTGAAGTACTTGATGAGGTTTTTCTGCTAGGTATGTCTTTTCTTGTTTCTCTTTGAACTTGACTTTGAGATCGTTTAAAGGGAGAAATGTTGTTAGGAAGTGGAGATTTTTCTTGCTTATTTGACTTGGACGAAGATGAACTTTGCTTGCTCGAACGTTTGCTTCCAGGTTCTTCTTGAAAAATAGGAGGTTTGCCACTTTTTGAAGAAGAAGACGATCTTTTACTCGAGATTCTCTCTTGCGAGTTTATTCTTTGTACTGAAGGAGATTTTTCTTTATCTCTGGAATTTTGTGGGATTACAGGAAATGGTTGAGTCGAGTTGCTTTTTGGTTCCGGAGATGAAATATGGCAAAATCGCTTGAAAGCTTCTGAAGGGGGAAGTGAAATACCAGACTGTTCCTTATGTCCAACCGAGTGTCTGACTCTTGAGCTCAGAGGGGTTTGCGTTTCTGATTGCTTGGAGTTATTCCTTCTTAATAAATTAAAGTTAAGCCTAAGGGATTTTTTTTTGGGTTTCGTTTCTTGGGAATCCTTTTTCTCCTGGGATACCTGAATAGTTTGGTTGCAACCTCGACTCGTAGAGGGTTGATCATCCAAATTATACTCAATCCTGGATGGTTTTGGTAAAATTTCGGTTCGTTTATTCCTCACTGAATTGGTCAAACGTATAGGATAATCTATGCTAGTGTTTTCGAAGGGCAATGAGTTGGTCCGAATTGGGGCACTCGAATTTTCTGGTGTGGAATTGGCGGGTACGACGATAAGGCGACCATATGACAGATATACTACCTCATCTGCCGGAAATATGACATACATGCTCTAGTGGAATGCCACATCGCGATGTTGGGTATGACACTGTCTCTCGCAATAAAGGTATCATGCGTACCGAGTTTACATGAATTTTACATAAGAGAAAAAAAAACGGTATAATTTCTTAGAAGCCTAACTTAAATTTCTTTGCGATGTCTTCTACCTCAGTTTTTGTCTGAAAAATTAAAAAGAAAATTTATTATTATACTATATATTCAAATTGAAATTGTTGACATAGTGGGATATGATATATTAATTGAGGAACTAAACACTCACTTCAAATAGAATTTGGAGTTTGGCGCTCTTATATTATTCGGTGCAACGTTCTATTAAACATCGGAGTCGCAATAGATTAGCTTTGCCAAAATTTACGCTTTGCACTGAATATGCAGAAACTGAGACAAGACAAAATTCCGTCGCTAATAAATTTATAATTAAATATTGAAAACTTAAATATTGTTTATAAAAGGTAAAACGGATATGTCCAACATGTTTGGGTATAGTAAAGAGGCAATATACAATAGTGAATCATTGTAGAATCACATTGAAAAGTTAATCAATTTTTTGCTTAGAGTCAGGTCAGAGCTGTCGCAATTACTCTTCTCAAGGCATAAAAAAGTAATTACAATTACTAATTACTTATAGACTGTCAAAATGTAGTTCAATTACCAACTACTGTTGAAATTAATTGATTATGTATGCAAATACTTTATTTGAATTACCTACTTATTTATTTGAATTACTTCTTGAGTAATTAAATTACTTTTCAGTAATTGAATTACGCATAAAGTAGTTGAATTATTCAATTTTTCAATTATTTTAATTCAATTACTGACAGCTCTGGGTATGCTTTTGACGGCAGGCCGACAAAGGGCGAAAAAAGAAAACAGTTGCTAGTCGTTCTCACTCAAACCAGATCAAATTCCGCCAAAGGTGCTATAGAATTTGAAATTTCAATTATTACTTTTCCTTAGTTCAATTCATAAAAGTAATTCAATTACCTTTAAACTAATTAAATTATTTGTAAGTAATTCAATTACTCTGAAAGTAATTGAATTACCTGAAAATTGTTAAAATCAATTACCCATTACAATTATTTCATCTCAGTAATTTAAAATCAATTACAATTACTATTTTTTTTCGGTAATTGAATTAAAGTAATTCAATTACGAAAAGTAATTAAAAACAATTTTTCAATTATTTTAATTCAACTACCGACAGCTCTGAGTCAGGTGAAAGGACGCGTCAACATAATCAAGGAGAATTGTTTGCAATTTCCAATTTTCATTTTAATTGATTCGAATATCCATCCGCACAAAAACAAAAAGTGTCGAAAAAAGTGTCAATAGAGAGACATTTCCTAATTAGTGTGCATTTATTAAAATTAATTTAAATTTCAAATAACTGGGGCAATATTGACACATTCAATAAAACAATAAAGCAATTCTGTGTTTTCCTTTTTCCTCGCTCTGCAACAATGCCATATCAGAGCTTTGAATCTCTTCAATTGGTTATTTAATTAGTCTCAATAATATTCAGCAGTTGAGGCATTATTGCGCTTTTTTATTTATTATTCTAATTCATGCCATATAGGATTTTGTTTGTATAGGGTTTTCTTTCTTGCGGTTTGAAGATTTAACCAACATTTCTATACGAAACATGTGAAATATTGACGAGTCATTGGAATTTTTGAAAGAGCCATAAGTACACCAAAGTTATTACTATAAAAAAAAAAACCTGTGATTCCTATTAGTATTACACCTTGAAATGTAGCCTCATTTTTGTCTTTGTTCTTTGGGCTGTTATCGTCCACCTTTGGGCAGTTGATTTGACGTCGTCGATTCATCACATCTGTTTGTCCGCCTCATTTCAGCTATGCAAATCACAACATGTCTAACAACCAGGGAAATCATGTGAGGCGGCGGCTCATAGCCTCGTTGCGAGCCGCGATTCACAACAAAGAAATAGTTCTGGGAGCCTTTGTAGATATAAAAGGTGCCTTTGATGCGATGGTCACGCCCGAAGTCGACATCACCACCTGCAGGTCAATACACAACATGCTTAAGTACCGGCGATTTAAAGTCGACATATGAAGCTGACGTTACTCGAGGGTGCTCATAAGGCAGCGTTCTATCGGCACTTCTATGGAACCTAGTGGTGGATGAGTCGCTCGTGCGTGTCGACTCACAGGGATTTTACGCCCAAGGGTATGCAGACAATGTAACGATACTTGTTCAAGGGAAACATCCCACGGTCATAGCAGAAGTTATGCAAACAACCCTGATAGCTGTACAACGCTGGTGCGAGGAACCACACCTCATGGTCAATCAATGCCATGAAAAACAGCGATAGTACCTTTCACTAGACGAAGGACCAGGTGTGAATACAATCTAAGCATCCTCGGGAAAAGGATTATAATAGTTGACGAAATGACCTAGGTCTTATCCTCGACGTTACGTTAACATGGAACTCACATCTAGAGAGAAACTTGAACAAAGTAAAAATATGAAGAATTAAGGCTTTCACGGCCGGTCAAATCTAGTAAAATAGTTTTTTCCGGGCTATAATGCCCTGGTCCATTAGTATTTCTACCTAAAAAGCAGCGTTTTCCTAGCAACGCACATTTTACGCGGCGTAGAACGTAATTCGGTCGGCGTAAAACGCTGAGGACATGTCTAATGAAAATCAAATGGAGGTGTTTTCCTACACCGCGTAAAAACGACTTGCGCTAGCTTAATACGGTCGACGCAACTGAACGACTGCTCGGAGAGCAGTCTATTCAGTTGTACGCTGCGTGTTGGCAAAGAAAATGCTCCTGTTGTATTATATTTACATACCTCAATGTTAGGCCAAGCTTTTAAGGTGGCGAAATAGGATGTCGCACGCGATTACCATGATTCCTTACTTAAATCTTTTCTCACAAGATTGAGGAGAAATGAGATTTGCTGCCTTATAACTATAAAATATGCTTTTCAAATTTTACTTCGTCGTCGAGATGTTTATGGATAAGTATCTCTAAATGCTCCTTCGCTTCTTCTTTTTTGAAATAATTGACTAGCAGAATTTCTAGTCCTATCATAAATCGTAACTATTATATCAATCTCTTCTTGCAAATTTTCATCTTGTAATAATAGGACTGTTTCTGCAGAAATAATAAACCAGTCAGAGTGAATTTCATTGGTTGAAACTAGTTTTCTGACTGTTTCTGATTCTTTTCAACCAATGAAATTCGCTCTGACTGGTTTGTGATTTCTGCAGAAGCAGACATAATAATAAAGCCTCGAATAAAACCAAAGCTAATTTCTCGAGTAATTTCTTTATTGATATACTCATCGCGACGATCGGGACGCAACTGACAATCCTAGGAAAACACTTTTACGCAGCGCATTAGCTGTTGCGTTGCGTCGGCCGTATTACGTTCTACGTCGCGTAAAATGTGCGTTGCTAGGAAAACGCTGCTTGACGTTTCGTCTACTGCTGCGGTAGACATCTTCAGAGGCGGTGTGTTAGAGGACGAAGTGTTCTCTTCCGTGTTTCTCCGATGACTGAATTCGACGTTGAGGGAACTGCGTTATTTATATCCAGGGTTGTGGGCGTGGCTTGGATTACGGTATTTTCCTTGTCTCGTTCTCGGAAAGGAAGGGTCTTTGTTTTTCGGAGAACACAACGTTAAGCCTATCTACAAGCCCACAAGAACAATTCAGCAAAGTCTAAGATCGGCCAAGGATCCTAGGGCACCTTTTGAATCGGCTGGCGTCTATAGAATTCCCTGCTCTTGTGGATCTGTCTATGTAGGAACAATCAAACGCTCTATCAACACCAGGGTCAAAGAGCACAAAAGAAACTGTCAGCAAGGACAAATAGATAGATCAGCAATCGCCGAACATGTGCTTACACAAACAAACCATGTCATTCGTTTCGACCAGACTCAAACATTGGATAGAACCAAACATTTCTACACCAGGCTCCACAGAGAAGCCATAGAGATACAGAAAAACCACAACAACTTCAACAGAAAAGAAGAGGGCATGAACCTCAACAAAAGCTGGTTGCCAGTTCTCCGGAAAACAAAGACCTTTCCTTTCCGAGAACGCGACAAGGAAAATACCGTAATCCAAGCCACGCCCACAACCCTGGATATAAATAACGCAGTTCCCTCAAATCCCTCAACATCGAATTCAGTCATCGGAGAAACACGGAAGAGAACATTTCGTCCTCTACCACACCGCCTCTGAAGATGTCTACCGCAGCAGTAGACGAAACGTTAGGTAGAAATACTAATGAACCACGGCATTATAGCCCGGAAAAAACTTTTTTACAAGAAAGTAAAAATATGTCTACTTAGATGCAGAAGTCTTTTAGGATAAACATGGCATGCATCGACCTTATGGATGATAACATAGTGGAAATGCAAACGGATTACATGGTGGTTACCCATCAGTCTAAAAAACCATTCAAAGTTATATGCGACCCAAGAATACGGCAAAGAGAAAGCAGAAAGGAATGCCTCATATAATAAGAAGAGGCCTGGTGTCATATACAGACGGCTCCAAAACAGCGGATGGAGTTGGCGTATATGGAGAAAGACCAAGATCAGAACAAAGCATCCCTCTGGGGCTTAGCGCCACAGTTTACCAGGAAAAAAAAACATAAAATTGAAGTACCTATGCGCACAGGAGATTCTAAGGCTGGGTTATAACAACCAGAACATAAGCATTCTCTCAGACAGTCAGGCTGCTCTAAAAGCTCTGAACTCACATCGATTTACTTCGAAGATAACGATAGAATATGCCTACACGACACTGGCTTGCAGAAGACACAATATATTTAGAGGAATACAGCGCGGCGAGAGACTTCCGCATGAGAAACTTGCTAGCAAGCTGCTAGATCTCTTCAATAAGGCGGAATTTACTTAAACAAGACGTAGCAAGGATAGCACAATAAGCCTTAAAGCTGCAGTGCAAATTGGGACACGAGCACGCCTGACCCCGACGAGAGGTTTTCAATCCTAACTCATCTTCCTTCTTCAGCGTTATTTGTCATCACTTTTGTTTCTCCCTAATTATCAAATGTTTGTATTTCTTAAAATCTTGCAACCTCGATTACTGTACAAAATACTGTCCAGTAATTTGTATCATTTGCCTAAAGCTAGGTTTTCACACTATTACATATTTC